AAATTAAAATATTTCGAACACCTCTGGTTTTATTCACTACAATGGGAGCTGTGAAGAATTAAAAATTTAATTCAAGAACCATTAAATCTTAATTGGAATGATGTTGTTATGGTACAAAGAGGTCCCAGGCACTAGTGCTAGCTTAAGTGTTAAACCATTAGCATACAGTTTAATATCAATCTCTAGAAGAGGGCAATTGATTTTCCTGCCACTTTAACTCTTGTGTTTGTCCATGCTTCAATCAGGAAACCTCGGACCAGGCAGCAATATTAGGCATAGAGTGTTGTTTATTTCCAAACAGATGGGCCTAGTTGTTGGATCTTCTTAAACTGTAGGCCGGTCACGTTGTGACCTAGATATGTGGTGCTTAGTGGCCACATTAAGGCAGCCTAGTAGGCAACAGACCTAAAGGTTATGTTAAAAAAAAAAACAGCCCGGTGAAGACTTGCACAGTCCATCCATGCTCTGCCTATGTGTCCTTTAAAAAATATATATATAATATGGATGGGTGCTTTAAATGAGAAAATGTGAAATTATTTACTTATTGGGCATTGCTTTAGTCACTAACAGACAAAATATCAGTCATGAATGGGTCAATAAAATATGCATGCAGCAAAATAACTATAATCTAACCTACATATTGCTATAAACATGTGTGAGTGTCTGTAGTGTCCACTCAAACCATTCCTAACCCATAAAGCCCCACTTACCTTCATTACTAAAATTAGATACTGTAGTTCGAATTTCTGAAACGCAATGCTGGCCATGATAGAATGGTGTCAGAACACACAGTGCATCACAGTTTACTGCATGAAGCTGCAGAGGTGCAGACCAGTCAGAGTGCCCATGATGACTCCTGTCCACCACCTAAAGTGCCTTCAATGGGGAAGTGAGCATCAAAATTGCACCATGGAGCAATGGAAGAAGGTTGCACGGTCTGGTGAATCACATTCTCTTTTAGGTCATGCTGGGTGCATGTACGTCATTTACCTGGGAAAGAGATGGCAGCAGAATGAACTATGGGAAGAAGGAAGGTCTGCGGAGGCAGTGTTGTGCTATGGTCAATGTTCTGCTGGGAAACCTTGGGTCCTGCCATTCATGTGGATGTTACTGTGGCACTTACGACCTACAAGAGATTTGCTGCAGATCACGTACACCCCTTCATGTCATTGGTGTTCTCTGACGGAAGTAACCTCTTTCAGCAGGATATGCACCCTGCCACATTGCAAAAATTGTTCAGGAATGGTTTGAGAAACATGACAAAGGCCTCCAAATTCACCAAATCTCAATCCAAGTAAGCATCTGTGGGATGTGCTTAAACATCAAATCCGATCCATGGAGGCCCCACCTATCAATTTGCAGGACTTAAACGATCTGATGCTAATGTCTTGGTGCCAGATACCACAGGGCACATTAAGATGTCTTATGGATTCCATTCATACACAATATTAAGCAGGTGGTATTAATTTTTGGGCTGATCAATATATGTGTTTCCAATGGTCGAGAAAATAAAAGCAGTTCCCCAGTTGTTGGACTATAACTGACACTGACTTGAGCTGACTTGGATATATGGGCAATGTGCAGATTCAAACTCTTTCTTTATTACTGGAGGTCCTTACAGGACACAGTTTCCAACAGAAAGATTCAAGAAAAAAAAATATATATATATATTTTATCAACATGTCTGCAGAAAGATACAAGCATGGTTCTCGCTTCTGCACTTGAGGTCCATTAAAGAAAAATGGACCCTGGATGTGACTCCTGAAAATGCACGCACGATATGCCTCTCAGAGGAGAAATGTCTATGGGATATTCATATACCTGTCTGCCTAATGGAGGACACATCCAAGTTAAGTATAAATAAGTAAATGAAGATTGCCTTTGGTAACCTGAGTTGCTTTATCTATATTAGGACTGCACATACAGATGTTTCTTTAACCAGAACTAATATAAATACATCTAACATTTAGATCTGAGAGGGAAAAAAAGGCATCAATTTTCTTGGCATGCTGTAGGAATGTTTAAAAGTTGTATTTCATTACATATAAAGATTTCCTACATCTTATATAATAATTAGTACATTTCTGTAGGAATCTATTCAAACGCAGCTAACATTATTTTTTTAGAAGGTATTGGAGCACTTTATTTACTATAGGGAGCAAAGGAGCTTGGCAATTTTCTTTGCATGAATGAACAAGGTCTACACAAACATCCCATCAATTTAATATCACAAAACACACCTTGTGACAGTCAACAGCAATGCAAACTGGTCAGGCTACAGTTAATGGTAACAAAGACTTACTAAGATATACATATATAAGTTCTCACTTCCAAGTCCAGTGGTGCCCACAAAGGATCCACCTGTACTAAATGTAGGATATTAAGCATCTACAATGGAACGTTGAAGTACAAATTAAGAGTCCCGATTGCATTTGGGATGATAAAATTTATCAGTAATTTATCTTTGCCAGTAAGGCTTTTATTGATTCATAATCAATTACGTTACCACCGTAAAAGGCTTATCGGGGGCCAATAAATATTGTTCCTAATATACATTTTTGAAAAATATTGAAAATGAATCATTAACTTAGCATTGAAAATATCAGATCAGGCAATTTAATGACATTATTTGAGGGAGTATTCCTCGATAAATGACCTTGAAAAATATTGACAGCAAAAAGTTGTCAGCAGGCAAATAGATTATTTTAAGAAAAGCTTGTGGCAGATTAGTATAATGGAGGTGTTTTTAAAAACTAAAAAAATCAAAACAGAAGGAGCAGTAACAAAAAAATATTAAAATCTATAATTATATATTTATTAAATATTTAATTCTCCTTTGTTGATCACTTCTCACTTAATCTGCGAATATAATTTAATATATTTAATATATCAAAACATTTAGTAATTTTCCCTAGACATTTTTTCTCCATCATCTTTTTTTTTTTGAGGGCGGAATTCAGAATCATGAACCAAAATTAACATGCTAGGCCATTGTGCTTTTAGCTAAGTTCATAATTCTGATTCGTTTCAATTCTGAATTTGGGAATTTGACTGATCACCTGATCAGGCCAAATTTGGTTGAATTGCAGTTCGGACCAAAAGGAATCTCCAAGTCTAGTATTCTCTCTATATAAGTTGCTGGCATGATTTTTCGGGAACTATTAGTATCCACACAATTTTCACATCTTAGGGCTGACACCACACTGTGGGCAGAGGATGGTCTAAAGTGATGCATTTAGGATCATTTTATAATTGAACCCACAGCTTATGCTTCTGACCATTTTTTTCAGACTCTGCTGACTTGCAAGGATTATCATTTAGGCATTTTAGAGAATCTGGTGCCATAACTGCATCCAAAATAGGTAACCTCCCACTGGCTGTAGACTACAACTTATTACGTAAAAAGTTATGGATGGATCGACATGACGGATGATTAATTCATGAATAACAAAATGTGGCTTCTCTTGCCCAATTCAAACATAACGGTGTTCATTCATTAAAGTCTGAATTGTCGTCAACTAAAATCCAAATAGCAAAAATAAGAGGAGCTAAGATCTAGAAAAATTCTCCTGTAGTAACAGATTGGCTATTTTAGCCTAAATTCTGCCGTTTACGTTAAAATCCATTACAATTCAGACTTTTGCAAATACATTCCTGATGGGTATTTAAATCTCAGACTAAGTGAAAATATGTCAAAACAGGGAAATCAGTGCAGTAATATCTGATAGGACTTTCTGACAAATCTCTGATGTGCCCAGTATTGATTTCTCAAAGTTGATGAACAAACCTAGAAATCTACATATAGTGTAAGACATGTCAAAGTTTTCACAAGACTAACAGTGCTCTTCCCTGAGAAGGTCCCTACCAGATAGATGAGACAGTATACAATGAGATGAAAAGTTGTGGGTAAACAATTCTGTAGGACAGGCATAGGCAACCTTCGGCACTCCAGATGTTTTGGACTACACCTCCCATGATGCTTTGCCAGCAATATGGGTGTAAGAGCATTATGGGGATGTAGTCCACAACATCTGGAGTGCCAAAGGTTACAAGAGCTCCAGCAAATTAATTTATCTAGTGTTTAAAGTCACCTTAAAGCAGTAAGCAAAAGCTCTCTACCCTTAATAATCCTTTAGATACACAATGCCCATATACCTTGTGTATAATAATTGACACCTTTAAATAACGACTACCTCTTGCATCATTGCATTTGCAGGGCCCCAAAAATGTTCCTGAAAGTGTCTGGACTAAGGTTCAATATTAAAATATAAAATAGTAATATAATTAACAGCCTGTAACTGATATTCTGTTAGACCTAAAATGCCTTACTCTATTGTTAGGCTTTCACAATGTAGTATCTGTACTTTGAATACTTTGTCTATCCAATATTCAGAAGAATTCGTGTTATTAATGCTAATCACTAAAAAGAAATGCACATTTTATATTCCATATCCCAAAGATAACATCTCGGGAAGTGTTAAGGGATGGGTGGGGACACACATAAATAAATATTGTACTATATGCATGTTACACGCCCCAACTAAATGTGTTAACAGTAGCAATTTTCACGCCAGAAAATAAATGAATCAGACTCTTGCTTTTCCTTAAAAGTTAATAAGGTACAAGGAGTTTGTAGGGTTCTTTAATGAAAGGAATTGTGACCTGTTGACAAAGAATTTATTGTCACATTAAGGAACATAATGAATGCATAAATCAGTACAAGCCCTACCGGTAAAAGAAACATCATAGAAGAAATGCATTATTAAATATCGAGTAGATTGTTACATTTCCAAAAATTTATATAACTACATTAAAGTGGAATATGCACTTTATTTAAAAACTTTGTTGACTGTCAGTGTCAATTCAGTACAAAATAAAAACAGAAGATGTTCCTTGTTGGCGTTGATGACAGAATCTGAGTGCCACTGAATATTATTTATATGTACAAATCCCAGACGGGAAACAAGTAACATCTGTTTCTTTGAATGGAATATTTGGCTCTGATGCGCTGGAAGAATTGTTTTGGCCTAACGTAATATATTTTTTACCCCATGCAGTTGTTCATAAACTCTTCATACTACCTAGACTTTCTGGTTATAGAAGAACAAAAAAACAAGGAGGTTTCAGATATAACAGAATTAGTCAAAAAATGGGTCAGATCAAAATAACAAACCACAAGAGTAATGTCTGCTTTTTGGGACAAAACTAGATAGAAAATGTTGTTTGTATGTTATGAAGTCCCACTAAAGTTTCCATATTTATCTTTTAATGCTAAATCGATGACGAAGCAACTAATGCAACAAAATTGTGAGGATTGTTGTAACTTGTTGACTTCTGACATAAATGTATATACACGGTTTGTATAATCGTTCAATAAAACTTTATTGAACATAAATAATTTCGTAGCCGCAGAGGACCACACCAAGTATAGCATTTGAAAACGAGATCTGTTATGAATTTGGACTCTCTTTTTTTCCCTCTGTTTCTCATGAATTCTGAACGTAAGATAAAAATATAAACAAAAAAAAAACTCGGTTGTTTTACGGCCCCTGCTAACAAAAGCTGCAAAGTTCAATTTAACGCTTCCAATTTGAAAAGTTTACGGATTAGGGCATCGCAGTTACCCGGCATCAAGATTTAGTGTCTGCTGTTGGAAGACTTGTTCTCTTTTCAGCAGTCAATAATCTTTGCCAGCAATTTCATAGCCGAGATTTACATAAGGCAATGATGTTTATACTCTAACATGTGGCCTTTCACAGGCACTCTTGACACCAGACCAATATCATCATATGTGTTGGGCTGTGATGAGCAGCCTTCCAACCAGGAGATGGCGCTGTGGCAAATGTGAATGTTGGTAGGATACAATGTTTATGCATATACTCTACATGTCTGTATATATAATAATTTACCCTCTGTTGCAGTTTCTTGCTTTCTGTTACTGCTAACAAATCTTTATTGCTTCTGTAATCATCTGCATTCATTTGAATCCTGCTAAAGTTATGCCAGCGATAATAAACAATAGTCAGCGAGAATAAACAAAAGTAGTGAGCATAGTCAGGACTCACTAGCTACCTACATTTGAGAATGCACATTAAAAGCATACCTGCTTTATGGTACTGTAGAATTTACATGAAGCAAATCAGGCAGAATAAGATGTTTTAAATGCAATAAAACTTTATTAAACATAAATAATTGCATAGCGGCAGAGGACCACACCAAGTACAGCATCTAAAAACGAGATCTGTCTGTTTAAAATAAATGACAGACAATGTAACAAAGGTGGGGTTTAGAATACAATAAAACCTGCAGGGGTCGAATAATTTTGTTTTTAAATTGCCGAATTGCATTTAAAAACAAAATTATTCGACCCCTGCAGGTTTTTAGATGCTGTACTTGGTGTGGTCCTCTGCCGCTATGCAATTATTTATGTTTAATAAAGTTTTATTGAAAGATTATACAAACAGTGTATATACATTTATGCCAGAAGGTAACAAGTTACAACAATCCTCACAATTTTGTTGCATTAGTTGCTTCGTCATCAATTTAGCATTAAAAGATATGGGAGTATACATGGACTAAGTATTAAAGATCCCTTACATGGTAAGGGGAACATTTTCCAACATTTAAAGAAGAGGAAGAAACAATTAGGGGAAGATAAAATGAAGAAAGAAGGCAAAGAAAAATATTAAAAAGGAGGAGGGGGATTTGTCTTCTCAATGCCCCCATTTTAAGGGCAAGGACATCTATATCTATTATTGAAGAAAAAGGGAATTGACAGTAGTAGACAGATCTGCTCCATTAAGTTTGAGGCCCCTGAACTCAGGGAGAACCAGGACATACAGAGAGAGCTTTTGTATGTTTTTTTTTTTATGAAAGAGATAGCCAGAGAATCGTGGCTGATAGCCAGGGGATCATGGGAGTTGTAGGTTAAAACACCTAGGGCACTGACGGTTGTGTAGGTCTGTTCTACAGCATAAATTTCTACAAGTGGTAGCTTGTCTTACATGACATTGTGCTGTCTGGTTATGAACTAAAGCATATTGAGCCAAGTATTTTGGAGATTTTAGTTAGCATTCATGTTTTAGTTACTTACGTACAGTGGCAACTGCCTAACGGTATGTCCCAGCACTGTCCTTAGAGTAAAGCCCTCCCCTTAACCCCTACACTACAACAACACTATGCTAAACTAAAGATTAATGCTCACACTACGCTAACACTCAGGAAAATAAAGAATTACTGTGATGTTTCCATCCCTTAAATTAACTTCTCAACATTCTGCATTTGCCTGTTTCAGTCAAGCATAATATTGGAATCCTACAAAAGCACGCTTTAAAATACTGCTATATTGTGTCAGGGGGATGTACAATCACATAGAGAGCACTGAGATCAGGGGGATGTACAATCACATAGAGAGCACTGAGATATATAAATCTGAGTGTGCTGCCCACATTATATATCTCCATTATGGATGTACTCTTTATCAATATACGCACCAAATATTGGTAAACAGCGCCATATTAAAAAGGATGCACATTTTATCCCATTCCCTAAAGAACATGTCCCCATAGTAACAAGATAATGAGCTCAAAAAGGTCCTTAATTGTAAGTCCTCTATTACCATTTGCTTCCTCTCATTTACTCTGCTTCTCATCCTCATTTATATAATAGTTACGCTTTGACTGTTTCTGAGCCATCCACTTCTACATATATTGGGCCACAAGCAATTCAAGAAGCCTTTTACTGCTTCGGGGAATAAAAAACAGCCTGCAGCATCTGATTGCAGATTTGATTTCTTCAAGAAATGCTCCATGCATATGACAAGGAAATGTGCTCTGTTTGTGTTGATCTACAAAGCAAAATACAACCCCTGGCTTATAGCGATAGGAGTTTCCATACTGTTAGGGTTAATTATTAAACTGAGAATTGACAGGAGGTGATAAGAAAATTACAAATATTGAAAACATTCATAGAAACCTAGAATATGACGGCAGATAAGGACCATTCGGCACATCTAGTCTGCCCAATTTTCTAAATACTTTCATTAGTCCCTGGCCTCATCTTATAGATAGTATAACCTTACGCCCATTCCATGCTTGCTTAAAGGGACACTACAGTCACCAGAATAACTACAGCTTCATGTAGTTGTTCTGGTGAGTATTGTCAGTCCGTACAGGCTTTTTGCTATAAACACTGTCTTTTAAGAGAAAAGACAGTGTTTACTTTACAGCCTAGGGACACTTCCAGTGGCCACTCCTCAGAGGGGGCAGTGCTGCACTGTGTGACATTCAGAGTCTCCATCCTTTGCATGGAAACACTGTACTTTCCTCATAGAAATGCAGGTTAAGTAGTTACTATATTTATTGAAAATGTTTTAGAATATTGTATAAATATCAATAACAATAAGGAGGTAGAGGGAATGACACATACATGAGTACATAATCAAAGAAAATGATTGCTTTGCAAATTTAAAGAGCTAAACAAACAATATATGAAATATGTACATGTTAAGTTTTATTAAGGTGTAACAATATACAGTCAATGGCATCGTTAGAAACCTATACACAAAAACCCCTAAAGGTCAATAATAGGTATAGTTTACACAGAGTAGGTTTTTTAACACTTTCTTCCCATGAATTCCAAAAGTATTTAAGTTGATCTAATATTAGAGATGGCTGCCTAAGGGCCATGTGCAATTTCCTAGTCAGATCCTGACAAGTCCAGGTTTAATAAACATTCCTGCTTGTTCGTCACAATAATGCCAAATGCTACATACGTTAATTTAACACAAACATTAAATGGTGGTTGCATTGGTACTGGCTTACAGAACCATATTTACTCTAATCTAATGCGCACCTTTTTTGGAAAATAAAGTTTCCATAATTTGAATGCGAATTAGATTTGATGGCGCATTAGCTTTGCGGCAATATGCAAAATACAGGCAAATTAAAACTGGTTAATTCAAACTAGTGAATTCAAACTAGTGAATTCACACAGTCAAAAATGGGTCGCAAGAGAATACTGAGGACGGGCAGCAGCTGAAATAGCCTGCCCTTCGGTCGGTTCCCGCTCAGTTCTCAAGCTGATTTTTGCTCATCTTGTGCCATTACAGAGAGAACATATCTGAAGCATATCAGACTGGTCCCACCCATACGGGCAGTCCAGATCCGAAATGCCAGCAAGTTCTCTCTGCACGAGAGATACAGCAACCCCCACAACAACACAGTCAAATTTTTGTTCCTGAAAGTGGCCTTAAGAAAGAAAGAAAAAATAAACTTAACATGTAACACTAAACTTGACACACCATCAATATTATTACGGCATATGGCAATAAACATTTTCATTGTAGCACAATGTTGTATAGTAGTATCTTCTCATATAAATGCACATAAAATGCTCTAGCAAAAACATTTTTCAGCTTCCAGGTTTCAAAAATTGAGGTGCGCATTAGATTTGATGCCGCATTAGATTTGAGTAAATACAGTATATATTATACCTTAAATGTATTCCAAGTGGGCATGTCAGCGGTAAATGGGGCAAGATGGGCCAAATGCATTTTGTGCTAGCACACATGGCAGTGGCAAATGTACAACAGCACAGAACACAAAACTGCTGGATGAGAAAAAATAAAATAAATGGCTTTTTTTTGGGATAAAGATAATTTTTCCTAATTCTCTCAATATGATTCTATTCTATTGTTTCCTGCATTCCACTTATTTTCTGTCTATGTCTTGCCTACATATTGTTACAGTAGCTGTTTTCCTTGAGATCTTGATAAAGTGCCATTCGACATGAAATGTATTGATTGCTGAGGCGCTAATGCTTTTTGGGAACTTGCCAATGTATTTTGAGTTTTTTGACCACTTTGAATAGAAGGGTTTTGTTACTCATACGGAACGAGCAGTGGCTGATATGTCATGAAAACTATTTCTATTTTCCTGATTTTCGCACCAGCTGTTTTCATTGCAAAACCAAATAAAAAGCAGATGATCAATATACCCACTGCAATAAGCAATAAGATGCCTGAAGGGGTTGTCATCTCCTTAGACATGCATGATTTACACCAAACCATGAATAATGTTGGCATGTGACAATGTAAAAGCTGCTGTGATGGTGGAGAAAAAAAATCCTCAGTGAATACACTACAAAAAATCTCTTTACCTCCAGAAAACTACTATTGCCATAAGCTCCAAATTATAATGAATGTAAGAATACAATGATATCACGTCCAA